ATCAATAGAAATAAAAATAAACCAACTAATTAATTCTCTTAATATAATTAAATTAAAGCTGCAGTTAAAAAAAAAAAGCCTGTAAAGTTCCACATACTACGTTCCTGGTTTGAGCGCGACTATGTTGCGCAGCTACCTTATTATATATAAAAACTACATGATGACATACCTGGTACTGTGGTCGTTGCAAAGGTTAGTGGCGCAAAAGAGTTACTTGGCGGTTACAATCCTCTTGTCTGGAAAGCTAATGAATCTAGAACCAATGGTTCTGCGCGAACATCTGACAGTTTCATTTTCTCCTTACAAAGTAATGATAGTGATGAAACTATAATTAGCCATGTGAAAAATAGAAAAAAAGCCATTTATTGTTATGGTACAGAAAAAAAAAGGCCCAGGGTTTGGTAGTGGAGATCTTAGAATGGGTAATGATAGAAATACTTCACTATGGCATTGTAAATCAAAATATCAATGAAAGTGAATGGTTTGTTATAGATGAGTTTAAGGTGTTTCAAGTCTTTAGACTAGTCAATTAATTTGTAAGGATTGTTTGTTTTATATTTTAATGCAATAATAAAGTTCCCTGACAAACGATTTAGCAAGCTAGAAATAATTTTAGTTATATTATTAATTCGAATAATTTTTATTGTAATTTGAATTAAAAATTTCATCTTTATGAAATTTAATTGATGTCGCGTACATACATATATATAGTGAAATTAAATAAAATGGAATATATATTGCTTTACCACAAAAAAGTTATATCATTAAGTTATTAATATAAAATAAATTACTATTTGAGTATATCTCTCAAAGTTAAAAAAATTCTCAAAACGTCTATCAAAATGGAAGCTGCGCCAAGTTTTTCTCTAAGTGATAATATCTCGACAACCAATAGCCCAAATTTAATGCTCTTTTTCTTTTATTTGAATTCTACAGATACATAGAATTAAAAAACATTGAATTTGACTCGGTGGTTGTCAAAATATCATTGCTCAAAGTTGAAAAAAATCTTTAATTTTGTAAAGGATATACGAATATTAATTCTTTAAATAAATTAATCAAAAAATTTTTTTGGAAAAATAAAAATGATGGTGTGGTAGTTGGCTCGTCGACTTTCAGTACAGCGGTCCGAAGTTCAATTTATACAATTCCTGGTTACATAATAAAAATTAGATCTCCTAGGGCATCATCATTTTTTGCAACTCCTGTAGATAACCCATATAGGCTAATTTTCTTGTGATTGGTCAATTGAATTTATACAACTCCTCTTTTTTTTGTAACAAGCTTTTTAGATCCAAGATAATTGAAGTCTTCAAGAAAGAATTTTCATGATCTTACCTGGTAAACTAAATTAAAACTATTTGAAGATATTTCTAATGATTTAGATGAAATCCACGCAAGATAAAGAAATCTAGGATTGTTTAAGAAGTATAACGAAAACAATTCAAAAGATGGTATTTATAGCGTCATGCCTTATATCATTCCAGAGGTTTTATTAGGTTAAAGGTTTTTAAAAGCTGCAGATATTATAATGTTGGATCTTCATGTTAAAAATATCGACTGGAAAAGATCTTTTGATGGTTATAAATCTAATATTGGTCTTGCAACAGGGTTTTCGTAGATACGGAACTCTTTGAAGAGATATGATTTCGGGAAAGTTATTTTGCTGTTTATTTTATTTTATTTGGCTATTTTATTTTATTTTATTTTACTGTTTATTTTATTTGGCTATTTTATTTTATTTTATTTTACTGTTTTTTTTTTGTTTTTTTTTTTGGTTTGCTAACTACCATTTTTTTTGACAGATTTCTTAGGTTCAGGATTTTTTTTTAATGAGGCATGATTACGGTGAAATTTTTTTTTATTTGGTAAATACTTTTTTTTCTTTAGTAGGTCTGAAAAAGTTTTTTTCCTTCATTATTTTCTTCTTCGCTATCCAATTTCTGCTTTTTTACTTACAGGTTTTCAAGAAAAACTTTTGTGGTCTTACCTGGCAAACTAAATTAAAACTACTTGAATATATTTCTGACTATATAGTTGAAATTCATAATACCGGGTATAGTGGCAAAAATTTTGCAAAATAAAGTTAGCAGTAATCCTGAATCTCAAATCTAAGATTATCTAAAATATATAGATAAAACGATTCAGAAGATGGTGTGTCTTACGTCATTCCAGAGACTTTTATTAGGTCAAAAGTTTACAAAATCGCTGATATTTATAACTTTGGAGTCTTCATATCACAAATGTCAACTAGAAAGACCCTTTGTAACTATGAATTTAATATTGGTTTTGCAATAGGTCTTTTGTAGGTTCGAGACTTTTAGTTGAGATATGATTCCGAAAAAGTTTTTTTACAGTCATCCCTTTATATAATCACCTCCATATAATCACACCATATGTAATCACATTTATGTTTAGGCCAAACTAGCATGGGGGACTTTCTCACTTTTCAGAAAAACACAGGCTTTGTCATATGATAATTAACCAATCAGAAACCGTTTATTAACACATGATCAAAACAGATGGATAATCGTTGAACTAAGGCAGCCAATCAACGGGCATTACTTGTATATTACGATTTCGTTCATAGTTTAACTTTGAAGTAAAATAATTCGTGTTGTAAAGAAATCAGACTATTCATCCACATTATAACCAGTGTTAAAAATTCAAATTTGATTCGATGTTCTCAAAAAAACATTTTTTGAATTCTTAATGTTCTCAAAAAATTTTTAATGTTCTCAGTATTAGAAAGTTAAAAATTTTTTAATATTAAAAAAATTGGTTAAATGTTCTCAAATAGAGAACATTTTTCAATAATTCATGTTTATAAAATTTGGTAAATGTTCTTAAAAAGCATGAGAACATCAAATTTTAAACACTGATTATAACAGCAATTTTACAATTGTAAAAACTCATTTAAAAGATTTTTAATACAAGTTACACGTCCTTCAATAGTTTTTCTTAAAATTTTGTGTAGTTAATGAAATTATACTATCATACATATTAAATTATTCTACTATGTTAAATATTTTTTAAGAAGCATGTATAACTTTAAAAGAAAGTCTACATAAGTTTGTAAATAAAAATTAACAAGTTAATAATTGAAATAATAAAGAAAAAAAATTAAAAAAACAATGTTAAACTTTGCGAATTAAGCAGTACAATCTACTTTTTTTACCTTTTACTATATGGTAGATAGTACTTCAACTATGAAGAGATCTACTTTGTATAGCATAATGCAACGTGATGCAACTTGGTTTCTTGACAAGATATTCATTATGAAGGTATTTTATTAGTAAAGTATTGAGTGTTTAGTTTTTTTTTTTTAGTTCACTTATACCTGAAAATTCTGGTTTTACACTACTATCCTATATAAATACTCATGTAACATCGATCCCAGAAATCATCAGATTCGAATGTCTCCCATGCTGGCCAAACTATGTTTTAATTTATAAGAAAAAGACCTCTATATAAGCACAACTCCTATATAAGCACATTTTGAAAAAAATTGCTATGGGAACCAACACTTATTAGCTGATTATACCCCCACTCCAGAATATATTAATTAACTATTCTGGGGTTCTAAGGTTAGTTATTTAACAATTTTAAATTTAATATATTCTAAAATATAAATTTATAAATATTGCATTTTTATATACTCCTTGCATATTTGTATGCACTCCTTGCATAATTATGCATAATTATATATAACCATGTATAATTATGTATAATTATACATAATCATGCATAATTATGCATAATTATGCAAGAAGTGCATACAAATATGCAAGAAGTATATAAAAATACAATATTTATAAATTTATATTTTAGAATATATTAAAATTTAAAATTGTTAAATAACTAACCTTGAAACCCAAAAATAGTTAATTAATATATTCTGGGATATAATCAGCTGATAAGTGTTGGTTCTTTATGTTCCCAACTGTGATTATTTGGGAAGACAACTGTGTCTTTTTTTTTGACAGATTTTCTAGATCTAAGATTTTCTTTAGTGTGATATAATTGTAGTGAATTTTTTTATTCTTCAGTAACTGCTTTTTTTTTCTAGTCAAGCTTTATTATGTCCGAGAAAATTACTTTGTTTTTTTTTTCTTTAGCTATCTAACTTCTGCTTTTTTCGTTGCAGGCTTTTAAGAAAAACCTTTCATGATCTTTTTGACAAATTAAATTAAAACTATTTGAAGATATTTCTGATGATTTAGATTAATGTTGATTAGAGATTTCGCCACAGACGAAAGATGAAACCTAGTTTCTACTTTCACCAAAAAAAAATTAAAATGGCAAAATGGTAAGACTAGCGAAACTGATGAAACTCTGTGATAAATAAAGATAATTAAAATTTTTTTATTTCTATATATATATATAATATTATATATTGTCGAGGAAGATGCTGAAATTGGATGATGCTAAAATTTATGTGATCATATGATGATTTTTTGTATAAACAAACTTAAAGTGCTTATAGAACCCTAGCATCACCAACTAAAAAATTTTGTTATTAATGTTAAGGTTAGAGTTTGGGTATGAGTAGAATTAGATAAAATATATGTAAAATCAAACCAAAAAACCTTCTCTAACTCTAACACCAACAGCGATAGTAATGCTAGATGTTTATAGAGTGCATCTATTTGTGCAATGGATTATATAATATTCATTGATGTTCTAAGCACGTTCAACCAATCAGAATTAATCACTGGTCAACATATATAAACAATTTTTAAAACTTTGAAAAGTTTTTTTAATAACTACCTGGCAAAATTCTATAAAACTTTTTTTATTTTAATTCTACACATTTATACAATTAAGATAAAAAAACTTTTATCAAATTTTGTCTGATAGTTATTGAGAAAAGTTTAGAAACAGTAAATTAAGTGTTTTTGAATTTTTTTTTAAAGTTTGACCCAAATTTTCTCACTATCTGACTAAATTCGATAAGTATTTTTTTATTTTGTTCTATAAATTCATAGAATTAAAATAAAAAAAAACATTGAATTTGGGCAAGTGCTGTCAAGAAAACTTTGCTTAAAGAAATAACTTGTTCCGTCTATCTGAAGTTTTCTCGACAATTACCTGACTAAATTCGATTATTTTTTATTTATTTTAATTCTATGAATGTGTAAAAATTAAAATAAAAAACAATTCATCGAATTTGGTTAGGTATTATCGAAATATTTTGCTTAAAGTTTAGAAAGAATTTGTCCTTTCTATTAGTAAGCTAATTTTTCTTTAAATTTTGAGAGAAGTATTCTCAATAACTTTCTAATCAGATTACAAGAATTTTTTTTATTTTATTTCTATACATTATTATAATTTTATCAAATTTTGTCAGGTGGTGCCAAGAAAACCTGTCCTGCCTATTAGGTGAAAGTTAATTTTTCATTTTGCACTACCTGCCGACCCAAATTTTTCAAAAACTCGAATTTTTCTTAAACAAAAATAATGATATTTTAT